ACCTTGTGAAGCTTAGGTGGACACCCTATCTTCTTGAGCATTGTAAATAATACTTTTCAGCTGATGAGGTCAAAGGCCTTCATCAGGTCTATGAAGGCAACGAACAAGGTGTGTCTCTCTTCTCAACATTTCCCCTGCAGCTGGTGCAGTGAGAATATCATGTTGACTGTTGACCTCTGAGCTCTAGAGCTGCATTGTGACTCAAGATAGACCCTGTCAGCAAGTGGCTATAATCTGTTGAAAACTACACTGGCAAAGGCTTTCCCCACAGTACTCAGCAGGGAGATCCCACTGTTGTTGTTGCAGTCTTGGTGGTCACCTTTGTTCTTGTAGAAGGTCACAATGCTGGAGTCACACATGTCTTGTGTCATGGATCCTTGATCCCAACACTGCAAGAGAAGGCTGTGGAAGTGTGTCATGAAGGAAGAATTGAAACTGGCTTTCAGCATTCTCCAGGAACAAAGCAATACCAGTACTGGGCACAAGGTGGTGCTCCAGCCTGTGCCATGAATAGCTTCCTCTCTTTACTATAACATTTTAATGCTTCAAAATGTATGCATGCACGAGGTGTTTGCTTTTTAAAACAGACCACATTATAGGTTCTTTAAAATTTATATATGCACTATAATTTAATCAGGTTTTTTTTGCTTTAATACAAAAAGTTATAACATAATTAAATTTAAGGCAGCAAATGTATAACATGAACAACAATAATTTTCTTTCCATACAATTTTGTGTGTTTTATCCATTCATTTATTTCTTTATATTATATATAGACTTTGTTTCACAAAAATTTTTTCACAAGTTAACTTATCGCCGGACAAGGTGGTGGAGGCAGCCTGGGTTTAAATATCCCAGCAGTGGACCAGATTGAAGCCTTTCGCCTCATTCCTGCTTGCCCCTGGGTGGAGTCCTGTAGCTTGCCCACTCATAGATTGGCCAAATGTCGGGCAGGCTTGCACCCACTTCCCAGGCTGGCGAGAGGCCAGTTTCTAGTGTCGCAGCAGCCTGGGAAAACACCTTGCCTCCATGTCCCATGCTGGCTTGTGGTGCATGGGGTGCGCCATCCCACATAGATGTCTGACTCTGAAAGTAAGCATCATTCTCAGGCACCTTCTCTATAAAGAGCACTTTGAAACAGGGCTGTGTTCTCACCCCAACTCTCTTTGGCATATTCTTCTCCCTGTTGCTCTCATATGCCTCCAGTTTGACTGAAGACAGTATGTACTTTCATTCGAGGACTGACGGGTCTGTTCTACCTGCTACAAAAGTGCTGCAGGTCCTTATCCAAGAAATGTTGTTAGCAGATGACACAGCCTTGACAATGCACTTGGAGGAAGCTCTACAGAGACTTATTGACTCATTTTACCCAAACCTGCAGGGAGTCTGGCCTTACCACCAGCCTAATGAAGACCAACATCCTGGGTCAGGATGTCATCAGCACTCCACACATCAGCAGTGGTGACCACAAGCTTGAGATGGTGGACAGTTTTGTCTACCCGGGTTCCACCATAACCAGCAACCTTTCTGTTGAACGCTAAGTTAGACAAGCATATTGGTAAGGCAGCTACGGCAATGGCTCACCTCTCCCAAAAGGTATGGGAGAATGTGATGCTAACTATCAATACCAAGATGAAGGTCTACCAGGCTTGCATGTTGAGCATGCTGCTTTATGGAAGTGAGTCGTGGGCAACTTACACCCACCAGAACCAACGCCTCAATGCTTTCCACATGCGCTGTATCAGGAAGATTTGGGCATCACATGGCAGGACAGAATTCAAAAACAAAGATGTGCTCTCCCAAGCCCACATCCCCAGCATGTTTGCACAAAATGGAAAATGGCAGGATCCCCAAGGATTGGCAGACCAACTATGTTTTATAAAGATGTCTGCTAACGTGACATGAAGGTTAGGCAACGTTAACCCTGCTGTATGGGAATCCTTTGCAGGTGACCACAGTGCCTGGAGACACAGTCAGATTGTGGGTCCACAGCAGTGACCAGAAAAGAAATGACCACAGAGAAGTGCAGGGAGAGGAAAAGCCATGGTGCATTTGTAACAGCAAAACTGAATACCTTCATCTGCCCCAGTATCTATTCCAGGTCTCTACAATCTCAGTAGTCACTGCAACTCTCCAGCGGTTTGCTTTTATCCCCAATGGCACACACTTCCATTGTCTCTCTCTCGAGATGGATGCCAACTAAACAGTTGAACTTGAAGTCAAGTTGAAGCTAGGTTGAAATGGATCTATAGTCTTCTTCTTCTTTGGCGATCGCTCATGGCCAAGTAAGATTGTCCTCCATGAATCACCAGGTGTTCTTTAGTTCCCTGGTTCTTCTTTGTATGCTGTGTAGTTCCAGCATGCAATTGCTTATCTACCTTATTTAAAACAACTTCATATTTAAAAAACAGATGAACAACAGTGGGACTTAACTTTCCTTTTAAAAATTGTTCTCTATTTCACACATTTTGTTTGTTTCATTTGACATCTCTTTCATTTTTTCACTCTCACAATACTGTTGAAGAGTCCTGTTGGTTTTGTTACCCTGCTTTTGATAGAAGTGAAATTGAAAAGCATATTCACAGGTGTAAGTGATGCTGTTCAGTCAAGACATAAAATTTGTGTGTCCAACTTTTTCCAGCTCTTAAGAGTTTGCATTTATTCTCCCTCCACTAAAAAAAAGCAAAAAAGGGCAAAAAATAAAAGCAAGCTGCACAACTATACATCCGTTCCAATATTCACCTATAGTATGTAGAGCTCACCATTCTTCCACTAGTGCTGGATGGATTTGTGGGAAGGTTATACAAAGTAAAAATGTGGCTATAGTTTGCTTTGCAGCATCATGTGGGTATGTGAGATAAACTTTAATGCCTCACAGAGGGAATAAAGAGAAACTGGGCTTATGCCCATGCTTGACATAGTGTATGAACAAATTGCATAGTGGGACTGTAGAAGTATGCTCTAGTTGCCTGTAGTGCTTCCAAACATTTAATGAACATTTAATGTACAGCATACATTCCCAAATTCTTATGTTGCTGTTGTTTTAAAAAATCCAATAGAACACATAGGATTATCCAATAAAACACGTTATCCATTACCATTCAATATCAGGAGGTAAGAACTGCATGAATGTACATAATGAATTTCCAGAGGCATTAGCTGTGTTAATCTGCTGCAGAAAAAAACAGCAGAGAATCTTGTTGAAAAAAATTGTCCAGTAGCACCTTAGAGATCAACTAAGTTTGTTCTGGGTATAAGCTTTTGTGTGCATGCACATTTCTTCAGATACACTGAGACAGAAGTCACCAGACCCTTATATATAGTGGGAGGATGGGTTGGGGTTTTCCTCAGAAGCGTAGTAGGAGATGGGTGATTGACTCAATGGGTGTGGTAAACCTGTAGACGACTGTTGTTGTTGTTTAGTCATGTCCGACTCTTCGTGACCCCATTCCTGTCTTCCACTGCCTCCCACAGCTTGGTCAAACTCATAACAACTGTTATCAAATCCAAATCCAAACTCTTCTTATGACGACTGTTAACAACTGCAATTAGTCCTACAGGAAAAGACAAGTGATAGTATGCAGATGACCAAAAATAGCTTTAGCATATGTAATGAGACAAGAATCCAATATCTCTGTTCAGACCAGGTCTCTCCAAAGTTTTCAGTTTTAGTAATAAGTTGTAATTCAGCAACTTCTCTTTCAAGTCTGTTTCTGAAATTCTTTTGTAATGAGACAGCTGCTTTGAGATCCTGTATTGAATGTCCTGGGAGAGTGAAGTGTTCTCCTACTGGCTTCAGTGTCCACACAATGTTTTTGGCATCAAAATGTCAGGCCCCGTTGTCAATGACCCATTTGTGATATGCCATTCCAACCTGGAAACACCCTAACAACTTTATTATAGTATAAACTTTCATAGACTACAGTCTATCAGTTGCATCAGAAGTATTACTTTGAGTTACAGGTGTGTAACTCAAACACACACAGACACAGTCGAGGGTGGAATTACAAACTGTCAGAAGGAAATGAAACGCAGAAAGTACAGACTGTGATGATTAGGTTATTAAGAGTGACCATAAATACTTCCTGCGTTTCATTTCCTTCTGACTTTGCTGGTTAGAATTCCCCCTCCCAACTGTGTGTGTCTTGAATAATAGAATTATAGAGTTGGAAGGGACCCTCAGGGTCGTCAAGTCTAACCCCCTGCAATGCAGGAATCTTAACTAGCTCATACATGACTAGCTCATACATGACAGAAGGCCACCCATCCTCTGCTTAAAAATATCCAAGGAAGGAGAGTCCACCATCTCTCAGTGGAGTGTGTGTGTGTGTGTGTGTGTGTGTGTGAGAGAGAGAGAGAGAGAGAGAGAGAGAGAGAGAAAGTGTACACATTCACTTCACACTCTGTACTTCCCAGCCCTTCCACCCCTGCTGGTTAACTCTTCCTCAGCTGGCTAAAGCTTCTCTCCCCTGTGATTCCCATGATGATTGGCTCCATGCTGCTATTAAGTTTTTTCCAAAGCTTAATAGTGGCCTACATTTCCCCTTGTGCTGTTCAGCTAATTGGGGAACAGCTGAGAGTGATGAAAAGGGCACTGGATCCCCGCCTACCCCAGGCCTGCTGCTTGTCTCATCAGTGTTGTGAGCCATTAAGGTTAGGCAGAGTGCCAGTTCTGAGAAAGAAATAGAAAATAGCATGTTTCTACTTAGTGAGCATGCATGGAATTGCACTGTTGTAAAAACACTTGTTATTTTATTGATGGACTAAGAAGCACCTGTGTGTGATCTAAAATATGATTAAACACACTGCAAAACTTCTGGGTTAAATTATTTTCCTATATATTTTTGTTAAAATTGTAATGACCATTATGAGGAAGTGGTGTTTAAGAGGCTGTTTCTGGATAACTAGGCCTATATTTGGCACATATTTGGTGTGAAATAGCCTTTGTTTTCCACCTTCTGGGAAACTAATACACATTTCCTCTCTTACTTTATATATAGGTAATGTGGGTATGTAACTCGTGCCGAAAACAACAAGAAATCCTCACAAAATCCGGAGCCTGGTTTTATAATAGTGGAACAAATACACCACAGAAGCCTGATCAAGAAGTTTTTAGAGGGCTGCGTAACGAAGAAGCACCTCAGGAGAAAAAAGCAAAGCTGCATGAGCAATCCATATCAGGGTTGGAACGAGGTAGATCTCAAGGGCTCACAAGGCAAGACTCCATAAACGGCTCAGGAGGGAAAGGAGCAGGTGACACGGCAGACAGGTAAGGAATTGGCTCATTGTACTTCAAAAAAGGAGTCGTCACATGTTTATGAGTCATATTATCTTTGCATTTCTTTTTCATGTTTAATAAGCTGTGTCATCTAAGCAGCATATAAAGAAGCATTTATTTTCAGAAGTATGCAAGGTCTGCATTATTATTTCCTTACCATTTATATTGGGATGATTCTGTAAGTGAGCATACACTTTTCTGTAAATTAGGAAGGGCTCCATTTTGCCTTTGTGGAATGAAAAAAGCCCAAAGTTAGGCCATTAATTCTGCAGCATAAATTAGATAAAAGATGCATAAAAATTGGAATTTTCACTAGTTCAAAATGTCAGAGATTTATCTCTCTTTCTACATCTGTGTATGTGCTGAGAGAATGGATTTTATACATCTGAGGCCTAAATCAGAAATACATTAACTGCTCAAAGGGGACTGCTAATCTGCATATTTTAGTTGGGTACAATTTAAATTATTTTTTCTCAAACTGTTGTTTATGAATATTCTGCACTTATTTCTTAGTGGTCTTCTTCTTACATTAATATATTTCACACTGGTGGAAAATACCTCTAAGCCCTATTAAAATATTGGTATATGTGTCTAGGAATCATACAAGTTGAAAAGCCTAGTGAATTTTCTCATTGTTTCTTGAACTTTACTACTGTTTCCAGCTCATTTACAAATTTACCTATGCTGATATGATGACTTGCAGCAGAATCCTATGCATGTTTACTCAGAAATGAGTCCCATTGTGGTCAGTGCTATTCATTCGCTACTAAGTTGATGGCACAATAGTGTTGAAATTCTGTATCCACTTCCTTGAGAGTATGCCCCATTGAACACAGTGGGACTTTTGACTAGACATGTAAAGAATTTAACCTTAAGAATGGTCATTTGAATTCTCTGGACTTCAAATAGGCATCTGTAGGCTATATGAACTATCTCATGCTCTACATCTAGTTTATAAATAATGCTGACTGTACTTTTAGCTTTGATTAAATTAGATACTTTATCTTTAAAATAACAAACTCTTTCTAGCCTTTCAAATCTGGATTGGCTATTAACGCAATTCTAACTATGTTTACTTTGACTTAAGTCCTATTGAATTCATTGGAATAAATGGGGTTTGGATTGTGGACTTAGATAAATTTTTTGTTCCTTTTTAACTGTGATGGTCATGAAATAGAATTCTTGAAAAATGTAAGCAAATCAAGCTTTCTTACTAGAACCTACCAGATTGAACTGCTTCTTTGCTCATTGTCCTCTGCTCAATTTTAAATTGGCAGGTCAAATACTGATTGGCTACAAGTGCTCCTTAATTATATTTGTTGTCTTGAGAGACACAACATGGTGTCTGGCAGCTGAATTCATTGTTAAAGGGTGATAGCACAATACTATTCATAGCTAATATTTTTCTTAAATATGTACAGAAGATGGAATCTTGTGGGCTCTTCATTTTTACAAGGGAGACTGTGGAGCTGTCAAGGGTATAATTCTAAGTGCTTTGGCTCAACTATTGTAGGGAGACTGAGACCACAGAACTGTTGTGGGGAGAAACCAACAATGCTTGCTTAAGACCTTCCTAATACTCTTGGGTACAAATCTCAATATGCCTTTGTACAGACACAGTTGTTAACAATTACAGCTTGGTTCTACTTTGTTACAGAAGTCAGCAAGTGATCTCTCTGAGATTGAAATGGGAAAATGGATTGAGATTATTTTAGACTGGAAGGTCAACATCAGTAAAACTTTAATTTATAAACCAGTACATTTAGATAATGGATTAACCAATTGTACAGGCAATGTGTATTCAAGTAATTATTATCTAATTATCCAGATTATTAAAGTCTGATTTTAAGCCACTTTTCTTAACTCCCTAGTGCTTTTAGTTGTCCCTTGTGTTTATTTATTTAAATATTGCATTCATATGCCACCTTTTCTCCAAGGGGGTGTGGGTGGTTCAATCCCTCCTCACTGCTCTCCCTGCCTGGGGGAAGGTGTTAATGAATGGAGTTTTTGGCATGTCCTGCAAAGAACCACACCCAAGCAAGAGTGTCACTTGGTTTCTTTGTCACTACCGTCTGCAGTTTCTTCCTGCTCCATTATTTTTAAGGCATTACAGTACAATATATCCATCATAGCAGGATCATTGATATTAAAAACTGTGTTGTACCACACTGTGCAAAGATTCACCCATATATTACCACATAACATGCAGTAATTTGAAAAAGAATGTGTGAAATCACTTTTTGAAAAATAACCTGTGATACTGGACAACATCAAAACTTGCTTTGTCATCTGGTAAGTGATGCTTCACACTTGCAGGTTATACACGTCACATATGAAAATGCATATATGAATTTAGTTGTTTTAAATTAATGAGAAATAAAAATATCTGTTTCTGAGTACTGTCAGAACTACTTTTGTTGCTTTGAAAATTATGTTGAGAGAAATATATCTCATCTTAAATATTACTCTGGCAGTGCAATATACAAAGACGTATCACAATTGCATCATTTGCAGATTGACTACTGCCTAAACAGTTTGACTTACGAATTGAGGTCACAACATCCCAATCATTAGAATATGAAATAACATGAATAGATATTATTGCACCCAGAATATGCTGCAAAGGAACCTTTCCTGGGCAAAGTTTTGGCAATGGACCCTTTTCATTCTCTATGGTGCTACAGCTGTCCTTCCTGAATTCAGTTACATGCTACAGTAGCCAAGCAGCAGGTACTGATTCCATACTCAGCATGTACAAAACAAACACTGCTTTGTTCTAGACACCAGAAAGACTTGAAAGTTGCAGAGTACTTCTGAATCTTAATTGTTTTAAGGGGAAATGCTGTTGTCAGATTCCACCTATGTGCTAATGTGATGATTATGGCCGGAAGTGAGTATGATTTGCAAGTAATTTTATCAATTTATCCTACATAGATAATAAATTGGCTTGGATTTGAAAGCTGCAATTGTATATACGCCTGGGAGTAAGCCTTGTAAATTCAGTGGGATTTAATTCTGAGTGGACATGCATAGCATTGCACTAGAAGTTGCTCCTTCATTTACATGGGGGGGCACAGAGAGAGTTAACCAACTCTCCCTTTCATCTGAATCCCCTCACATTGTATCCTATGCCTTTACAATGGACTCCCTAGCTTTTCAGTAAGCCTAGGAGACTGCAGAGGGAAGGGGTGGGTGAGAAAGTTCTGTTCCATGATCCCAAGATCATCACCTGAGGCCCTTTTTCATGTGCCTCCTTCATAAGAGGTCCAGAGGATGGCAACACAAGAGCCAGCCTAAAGAAACTACTGTGGCTACGAAAGGAGCTTACAGAGGAGCTGAGATTTAAGCAGGGAATGTATAAGAAACGGAAGAAAGGAGAAATTACAAAGGAAGAGTATACACAAGTAGCCAACAGTTGCACAGAGAAGGTCAGGCAGGTCAAAGCTCAGAATGAACTCAGGCTTCCAAGAGAGGATGATAATAATAATAATAATAATAATAATAATAATAATAATAATAATAATCATCGGTTTCTTTGGATATGTTTGAAGCAAGAGGAAGAACAAGGAAGTAGTAGGTCCCTTGTGTGGAGAAAATGGAGAAATGCTATTGGGTGACAAGACAGAAGGCAGAACTGCCCAACACCTACTTTGCCGCTGTCTTGAGCCAAAAGGAAAGTAGTGCCCAACATGGTGATAACAGAATAAACAATGCAAGGAGGGAGCTGCAGCCCATTATAGGAACAGAGGTGGTCATGGAACATCGAGCAATTTATAATGGATTCAGATCTCCAGGGCCTGATGACCTGCACCCAAGGATACTAAAGGAGATTGCGGATGTAATCTCAGAGCCTTGTGGAACAGATGTCAACCTGGAAAAAAGTGACAAGTGGGGTGCCACAGGCTTCTGTCCTAGACCTGTTGTTCAACATCTTTATAATTGATTTGGATGAAGATATTAAGGGGAAGCTCATCAGATTCTCAGATGACACCAAACTGGGAGCGGCAGCCAGTTGCTACTGAGAACAGAATTGTGATTGAAGATGACCTTAACAGATTGGAGAACTGAGCCAAACTAGCAAAATGAATTTCAATAGGGACAAATAACAAGCTGCACCAATGTAACATAGGGGACACCTGGATTGCTAGTAGTACTCGTGGGAAGACCACAAGGTTACAATGAGTCACAACAGTGTGATGCAGCAGCAAAAAAAGCCTATGCTATTTTTGGCTGCATTAACAGAAGTAGAATGTCCTGGTCAAGGGAAGTAATAGCATCCTTCTATTTTGCCTTCCCCTTCATGGAAGGGGAAATGGAGGCAGTGAGAGATTTTACTTTCTTGGGCTCCATGATCACTGCAGATGGTGACAGCAGTCAAGAAATTAAAAGACGCCTGCTTCTTGGAAGAAAAGCAATGACAAACCTAGACAGCATCTTAAAAAGCAGAGACATTACCTTGCCAACAAAGGTCCATATAGTTAAAGCTATGGTTTTCCCAGTAGTGATGTATGGAAGTGAGAGCTGGACCATAAAGAAGGCTGATCACCGAAGAATTGATGCTTTTGAATTATGGTGCTGCAGGAGACTCTTGAGAGTCCCATGGACTGCAAGAAGATCAAACTTCTCCATTCTGAAGGAAATCAGCCCTGAGTGCTGACTGGAAGGACAGATCGTGAAGCTGAGGCTCCAATACTTTGGCCCTCTCATGAGAAGAGACGACTCCCTGGAAAAGACCCTGATGTTGGGAAAGATTAAGGGCACAAGGAGAAGGGGACGACAGAGGACGAGATGGTTGGACAGTGTTCTCGAAGCTACCAGCAAGAGTCTGACCAAAATGTGGGAGACAGTGGAAGACAGGAGTGCCTGGCGTACTGTGTCCAGTTCTGGGCACCACATTTTAAAAAGGATATTGACAAGCTGGTACATGTGCAGAGGAGAGTGTCAAAGATAATCAAGGGTGTGGAAACCAAGCCTTATGAGGAACAGTTGAG